CCACATGCAGCAAGACCTGGACAATATCCAAGCTTGCACTGATCAGTGGCAAGTAATATTCATGGCACATAAGAGACCTCCGGCAAGAGAGAATCTAACCTTTTCTCCTTGACATTCAATTACAATACCATCACAAAATGCAATCCACATCCTGACTAGAAACAACCAGATTAGCCGTATAAATAATGTGGCTATAACTCCAGATCAGAGGCTGAGAATCCAGCTACAAGTTACTTGCATCATGACTGCCCCAAAGCCTGTCCACACCTACAAGGCACAAGTCAGGAGTATGATGGGATACTACCCACTTACTAAGATAAGTTTACCTCAAACAAAATTCAAGAAGCTTGACACTATCTGAAGTAAAGCAGCCCATTTATTTTTATTCTTTTGTGAGATGTGAACATTGCTGGCCGAATGGAATTTATTGCATGTCTCTAGTTGCCTTTGAGAAGGTGTTGAGCTGCCTCCTTGAACTACTGCAGTCCATGTGATGTAGATTGACCCAGTGGCCTTAGGGAGGGCATTCCAGGATTTTGACTCCATGACAATATATTTCCAAGTCAGGATGGTGAGTGGTTTGGAGGGGAACTTATCCTTCTAGAAATTATTTGTCATGGGTTTCGAAGATGCTGTCTAAGGATCTTTGCCAGATTTCTGCAAAGCATCATCTAGATAGCACACACTGCTGCTACTGAGTGTCGGTGGTAGAGGGAGTGGGTGTTTGTGGATGTGGTACCATTCAAGAGGGCTACTTTCTCCTGGATAGTGTTAGGCTTCTTGAGTGTTGTTAGAGCTACGCCCATCCAGGCCAATGAGGAGTATTCCATCACACTCCTGGCTTGTGGCTTATCGATGGAGGACAGACTTTGAGGAGTCAGGAGGTGAGTCACTCTCCAAAGTATTCCTGGTCTCTGACCTGCTTTTGTAGCCACTGTGTTTGTGTGGTGACTTCAGTTCAGTTTCTGATCAATGGTAACCCCCGAAATGTTGATAATGGAGGATTCAGTGATGGTAATGGCATTGAATTTCAAGGGGTGATGGTTAGATCGTCCCTTTATTGGAGGTGGTCATTGCCTGCCATTTGTGTGGCGCAAATGTTATTTGCCACTTGTCAGCCCAAGCCTGGATATCATCCTGATCTTGTTGAGTTTGAACATGGACTGCTTCAGTATCGGAGAAGTCGCGAATGGGGCTGACCATTTTGCAATCATCATCGAATATCCCCAGACCTGACCTTATGATGGAGGGAAGGTCATTGATGAAGCAGCTGAAGATATTTGGGCCTGGGATGCTATCTGAGGTAGCCTGGGACACTACTACTCCAACAACCACAACCATCCTCCTTTGTGCTCATTATGACTCCAACCAGCGGACAGTTTTTCCATGTCAAGGTAGTCACTCGCACCTCACTTCTTGAATTCAGCTCTTCTGTCCATGTTTGAAGCAAGGCTATAATGCAGTCAGGAGCTGCGTGCCTTGGCAGAATCTAAACTGAACCTTATAGTTAAGGAAGAGCTGCTTGAAAGTAATGATATGTTCCATCACTTTGCTGATGAGTGAGAGGAGACTGATGGCGCAGTAAAAAATCAAGCAAAAGAAAAATGGAAGTTGCTGGAGCTTTTTGTACCAACTGTGAACAGCTGTGTTACTAAGTGTATGACGTGCTTGATTGAAAGATTGCATGCAGATCCTCGAAATTATGTTAGGCTTCTTTGGATCAACATAGGGCCTATGTCAGAGTAGGATTTCTTACTGCAATCAATGTTGTATAATTATTGACATAAAGTACATGCGTTTTAATACTACAGAATGATGAAGCAGATGTGACTAGAAGTATTGGACATATTGCAGGTTAAAATTACAGGGAACCAGAAATTCAGAATTCTGCTTGCTGGTTGACAGGTGGGTGTTCTACAAATTGGTCACCTGAGTTGCAATACGGAAGAGATGCATCATGCAAACAGTCTGGTTTACTAAATTGAGAAACGCATGAAAGATTTTCTGCTTCACCTGGAAGGATTACAAGAGGTGCTGAATATTGAGAAACAAAGAGAAATGCAGCTGTTCCATCTCCTGCAATGGAAAAGCAAGGTGCTATGAGTAAGGAAGGAGGTGCGAGGGATGTTTGAAGAGTCAAAAGGCTGTTGCCGAGTGAACAGTTCCTTTGGAATTCTGGAAATGGAGCATAAGATGTGCTTGGTAGTGGTAGCACACTGGAGATGGCAGAGAAACCAAAGTTATTTGAACATTTTATTCAATAATTTCAGATGATGCACTCTCATTACCACAGGTCAAAACCCACAAATCACAACTGGCATTTTCAACATCCAAATGTCTTTTTAAAAAAAATGGCTTTTACAGCGAAGTCCAACTGCTCAACTACTAAGATTGATGTTTCTGGCAACTTCCACTCCAATGTTTGACTGCTGTTTATGAATAATGCAGAGACTGATCTCCATATCTATTTTGTTTAATGTTATTCCTTTCAGACTCGCCTTTTGTTTCTTATTTGTGTGCATGTGTTTTGCATGAGTTTTTCTTCATGTGTTTTGTGATTATTAAATTCTCTTTTTGTTTATTCAAGAAAGCTTGTTTAAATTGGCTTCTTTTTTAATAAAATTAGTTGATTTGGGCCTAGGAGAAAGGTATCAACAAGGAAAGGGGTGATTCTTAAATTAACTTGTTGCAACCAACCCAAAGGTTTGAGTGAATAAAGAGGGGGAGCCAGTTCATCCCACTTCACCTGCCAGTTTAACCTTCCAGCAAGCTGGAACCCAAACAAATTGGAGAACCTTGCTAAGTTGTGTATCATCTACAAAGTGCACTGCAATAAAATTCCAAGGCTCCTTCAACAGCAGCTTCCAAATCCATGACATCTCCCACCTAGCAAGACAAAGGCAGTTGATACATGGGTGCACCACACCTGCAAGTTCCTTTGAAATACATTCCCGTTCCTTCAATATGACTGGGTCAAAATCCAGAACCCTGTCTTAACAGCACAGTGGATGTACTCAAACCCCATGCACTGTAATGTTCCAACAAAGCATCTCACCATTAACTTCTCTAAGGCCATTTGGTATGGGCAAATAATGCTGGCATTACCTGCAACACCCAAGTCCCATGAACAATTTAAAAAACTTACATTCTGAACAGCAGGAGCAGCATTTTCTTTTATTCATTCATGGAACATGGCATTTCTGGATGTTTATTGCTTATGCTTAATTACCCTTGAAAGGAATGGTACAATGGCACAGTGGTTAGCACTGCTGCCTCACAGCACCAAGGACCCTAGTTCAATTCCACCCTCGGGCGACTGTCTGTGTGGAGTTTGCACATTCTCCCTGTGTCTGCGTGTGTTTCTTCTGGGTGCTCCGGTTTCCTCCCATAGTCCAAAGTTGTGCAGGTTAGGTGGATTGGCCATGCTAAATTGTCCACAGTGTCCAGGGAAGTGCAGGCTAGGTGGATTAGCTATCGGAAATTCAGGGTTAAGTGGATGGGTTGGGAGGGAGGTGGGATGCTCTTTGCAGGGTGAGTGTAGGCACAATGAGCTGAATGGACTGCTTACGCATTGTAGCGATTCTATGAAATACATAGCTTTTTAGGTCATTTTAGAGGTGGTTAAGAGTCAACCACATTGCTGAAGGTCTGAAGTCACATGAATTTCAGACCACATAAGAATGACAGATTTCCTTCCCTAAATATCATTAGTGAACTAGATGGGTTTTTACAACAATCAACCATGGCTTCATAGTCACCATTAGGCTAACTTTTAATTCCAGATTTTTATTGAATTCAACAGCCTTGATGGGATTCAAACTACTGTCCCCAGAACATTACACCAGGCTTTTAATTACTAGTCCAGTGACATTGCCATTACTTCACCAAAATACATGTGATAGTGCTGAGGGATCCCACAACTAGCAATGCAGATCAAAGCTCTTCCTTCCAAATCCTGTTGTAAGTGATATTATTCTATTTGCTTCACTTTGTACTTAGTTTATCTTGAGTTGTTTGAAGTTATTATTAAACAATGTCACAACAGTAATTTTTTGTTTCATTTTGAGTAATATTATTTTCCTGGCCCTTTTTAAAAAAATGTTGAAGTGGGAGACTTGCATGAAAGTGAGCTTTACTTTTGACTTAAGGTATGCTAAAAACAGCTAAGTTTTATAAAAATGGGAAACTACATTTTGTTAAATCCAACACAAAATTGTACATCTCTGAGGTTATTTCACTTTCAGTGTCTGTTGAAAATTCCTCTGCACTGCTCTCTGATTTACTCCTGCTCAAAAATGAACAACTCTTCACATACAAATCAAATTCAATAACTGTTGCTTTTGTCTTGCTGCCAATGAAGAAATATCAGATAGTTTTCTCAGTGGATGATTCTGAAACTTTTGGTGTGACAAATATTTTGACATAAGTTATTTTGTAGTTTTTGTGGCACTTAGTTAATCTTGAGCTTTTTCCCTATTTTGTTAATGTATGGTGTTGCCACACAGCACAGTGCAAGCTTTCAAAATGGATTAAAATCTAATGAATGAGCAATCACAAAAACTTAGTGCAGGTTCTGAAAGAAGGTTTAAATTGGAGACCAAGGTAGAATTGCATACTTTGTGACTGCATTCTTATGTTTTACATCAGCTATTAACTATTCATCTTATAAGACATCATCAGATTAAGGGAAGTTTGATTGAATAATGGGAGGCTTTTAGAAAAACGCAGTTTAAATTAAATTTGAGCTCTTTCCACATTGATAATATTAAAAAAGTATGTTCTGGGCCTGGTCCTTACTGTGATTCAGCCTGACAGTATATGTTTTCAATTCAGAACAGGCTTACTTCTCTGTCCACAGATGCTGCCAGACCTGCTGACCTTTTCCATCACTTTCTGTTTTTATTATGGTCTATATGTTTTATCTGTTCTTCTAAATTTAAGATTAGTAGCTCAGACCAGCATAAGAATGTATTTATTGCAGTTGTCTGCTATTCTCACAGCCCCAGCGCAAAGCGATCCTATATGCAACACCCTACATGATGTAGTTGACGTAGCACCAAGTCGAAAACGAAGGCATCGACTTCCACAGCAGAAGAATAAAGTGGAAGAAACCTCACAAGATTCTCAAGAAAAGAGGTAAGTGTTTTCTGAAGAGATGAAGTGATTTTTATATGTGAGCTAAGTGTTTTAGATGAAGCCATGAACTTGAAATTCTTTAACACCTTCATTAAAAGAAGTGGACAATGGTGTCATGCTAATTTGTTAAGCATTTCTACATTAGCATCTCATGGTGTCAATCATGTATAAAATGTTATAGAGCCTTTTTGGTTTATAAACTAGTTGCTTGGTTGAGTTAGAAGTAAAAGTGAGGTAATTGGTTATGTGGATTAATGTTGTACAGCAGTGACAGTTAACTTATTCAAATTAGTATGGCTTCAATTAATTAGCAGTTTTCTGTAAAGCAATTATGTTCCTTCAGAATTTCTCCTGTTATCCGCTCGGTTCAAGTTCTGTTTTGGATTGATTTAGAGATAGGTGTCATTTTCAACATGGTTGTGACTGGCTTCTGTAAGGCTCCTGAAAGCATGCCTTTTGCTTTAGGTGAAGATAACTCATGTTCCACTAATTTCAGAATTAAACATAATTCATTCAAAGTTTAATCCTGTTGTGGAAGAAGAAAGGCAAAATACATTTAGAACGGCAAAATTGTTGCTTGTGTTTTAGTTGCTGATCTTATTTAGGTTGGTAATCCCTCGAGTATAATTAGAATTCATTGTGCAGGTAAAGGAGTGTGTTATTTGACGTTTTTTTAATTCACTTGTTTCTGGAATTTGGGTGTCAGTGGCTGGGTCATCATTTATTGCCCATCCCCAATTTCCCCTTGAACTGAGTGGCTTGCTAAGGCCATTAATAACTAAGGCCACAATGGGCTGTTACGTGTCAACCCCATTGTTGTAGGTCTGGAGTCACATGGAGGTCAGACCAGGTAAGAATAACCAATTTCCTGCCCTCATGGACATTAGTGAACCAAACGGGTTTTCACAGCAATTGACAGTGGTTACATTGTTGACATTGAACTAATTTTTAATTCCAGATTTTTTTATTGAATTAAAATTTTACCATCTGCTATTGCGGTATAACAGCCTAGTCCTCCAAGGATTAGACTGAGTCTCTTGATCACTACTCCAATGACCTTACATTGACACCTCCCCTCTTATATGTGGCTAAACTTATCGGCTGTTTCAGCAAAGACAGAATGCCTTCCTTCTGCCTTTGGTTACATTATTAAAAATTGACAATATTCAATTTTTACAAAATAAAAATGTTGATGGTAAACTGGCCCAATCTAAATTTTTGTACGACTTCAAACACTGACTTCAATAGGACCCTCAACTTGGATAGGGCAGGCGTTACACTGATATTGTTACAGCAAGAGTAAGTGCAAGCAACATCATCATCCAGTTTCAAACAAGTAGATCATGAACAAGAAATATCCTGAACTCCAATGACTCTGAGTCGAATTACTTACTCATTTCTTAGGTTAAACTTTACTTCTGGAGGAATTTGCAGTTACAAGGTTTAATTTTGAAAGAATGACCTGCACTTCATTTCTGTGCAAAAATCTACAACCTTTGACAAACTATCAGAATGGCCATCAATGTTTGTTGGGATTCTCCCAAACTTCTGAAATAACGTGTAAGAAAATTAACTGAAATTCAAGAGAAATGACAAACAGCTGAAAATGGTTATCTGTGCAAGAAGTAATCTCTGGGGTTCCATTTCAGTTGCAATGGCAGAGTGGAGCAAATATAGAGTAGTGTACATATATCTTGGCATTTCTGTCATGAACCTAATCTAGTTTGTTGCCACCTGAACAACATTCAGGCTTGGATTGATAAGTGGGAAATTATATTTATGCCACACAGTGCCAAGTAATGACCATCTCAATGAGAGAATATCTAACCACCACCTTTTCATTATTAATTTCTATTCCTGAATCTCCCACCATCAAAACCAACTCAGTTCTCAGAAACCTACCACTGTTCAGAACAAAGCTGCTTGCTTGATCAGCGCAGTTTACCAGTTAAACATTTATTCCCTCCACTACTGGCACAAAATGACAGCAGGATATGCCATCAATAAAATGTACGGCAGCATCTCGGCAAGGCAACTTCCAAACTCTCCACCTTTACTACCTACATGAACAAGGACCACAGACCCATGGGAACATCAGTACCTGTATGATTGCCTCCAAGCCAGTTTCTATTCTTGCTTGAAACTATACTAACATTCCTTTACTGTTGCTGTATCAAAAAAAAACAGAAATATCTTCTGTGTAGCATACACAAAATCTGCAGTGGTTCAAGAAGACAGCTCACCACCACCTTCTCAAGAATAATTACAGAGGGCACTAAACCTGGCCTTACAAGCTCATATCCCATTAACATATGTGAGAAAAAGTCAGTAAGAAATAATGCCTCAACTACACTCCTTGCATAGTTCTTCCCTCCAGCTTTTAAAAATTTACCACCCACCCATTAACCCTGTCATTGTAATGTGCTACTTCCACAATATCAACAAATCACTTTCAAGGGTAGTGGTCTTCAAATGCCCTCATAACACTTTCTGCGATACATCCCTGTTCTTGAATTTAATAGATTTTTGGCAATCTTCTGTTCACCAGTAGTTTTTCAATTACAATACCTTAACCTTCAGAATTTTCTCCAAAACATTCATGGCTACTTCACTGCCTGCGTTCATAATCCCACGAAAAGCTTGTCGCTTGTTATCCTTTCGTCTTTCTCTTCTTCCTGTAGAAGTATTTATCTATGTACAGAGTGCTATATAAATACAAGATTTCATTTTTCATGCAACTGATACATTGATTAGTTTAGTTTACTCCAACCACATTTTAAGTAATGAACCATTGGGCATCACTTCCAACTATACGGTTGTAATATTTAAACTCTGATGTAAATGACAGCGTGGACTTTTTTGCATGATTTTAATTCATAATCATTAATCATTTCAAGTCAGCAACTTCAAATTAAGAATAGGTTATACAAAACACTTAGCTCCACGTATGCTTCAGGTAAATTCCAGATAATAGATGGGAAAGTGGTACATTCTCAGAATTGCTGCCTTGCTGAAGAAAAACAAAACAGTAACTAAAGTGAAATATTCATATTAAAGGAATAGGAAATGAAGGTGTAAAAATTACAACAGTGTTTGGCATAAATTGTTTCCCTAGCAGTTTCCACATTAGCAAAACATTGCAGAATACAAAGCTTTGGTACAAAACATTGTGTTGCAATTTGTACTATAGATCCACAACTGGTTTGCGCACAAGTATCTTTATATGAATCAGCAAACATTTGCAACGTGATTTCATAGAGGGGAACATTTTGTACTGGAGTTAACTTTACTTGGAGCAGATTTTATAGAAATAGTGCCAATGTAAATTGCACTTCATTTAAGTTTGTTCTGCTTTCCTTAATTTTGCTCAACATTTAATTAATTTTGGCATTGCAGACCCTTTCTTAAGTTTTTAAATAACAGATCTTTGAATCTCTGAGTTTGAATGATAATTATAGCTGTCAGTAAGAATTAATAAGTTACTTTCAAGAACACAGGCTGACTCGCTGCTGCCTTTCCCCTTCTCAACAAGGCCTGTAGTGCAGTGCCAAAATGTGCGCATTATCGGGCCCTACCTCCAAATAAAATGATCTTTCAGTGCATTAAATATTGTCACAAATATAAATATTGCATGTCCGCCATTCCACACTCGATTGGGTCAAATATGTGTCTCGTCCAGGTAACTGAAGTCTTCTCAATACTTTTCTGCTCAATAATAATGGAGTGCATCAATCACATACGTTTTATTTTAGCAACTCTGAGCAAAATGAGCCAGATCTTGATGAGGCTGGGTATCCTGTGACATACACAATTACTGACATCATCCTGTCTTCTTTAGATTGAAATTATTTCGCACTGTAATTGGATTTTTAAATTGGTAGTTGGCGTGAGCATCCTCACATCTGATACTTTAGGGAATGGCAGGACCTATAATTCATATATTTAACCAATGATATTTATGTATTGCAAATGGAACATGGAGCAATGGAGAAAGAGGCTGCAAAGGATGATTCTTTGCCTCAAAATCCAATGTTACAACACACAGTGGAGGGAGATCTTTCAGTATTACCACGGGTGCTAAGGCATCTTTGCTGAAAATGGTTACATTGTACTTTAACTTGCAGGTAGCACAATGATCGCCAGGCATGTTACCTGCATTGGGTCTTCTGCCGCTATTATTTGTAAAACAATTTGAATGACTCTGACCCAAAAAAATTGTCCAGATTTCTGGACAGAAATCTGTCTGCCATGTTGAACTCTTGTTCTTCAGTACTTCCGTTGGTACATTAACTAAGTGCAAAATCTAAAAAAAAACTTTCTTTAATGAGAGAATAAAAAGGACCAATGAATCATGTCTGTGCAGGTGTCTGCTTACTTAGAACTCAGAAGGCAGTTGATTAAAGCCTCACTCAACCGCTTCAGCACACAGTGTCGCTCTCTCTCAGTACTGCATGACTATCAGAGATCCCATCTTTCAGATGAAATGATGAGCTGAATTCCCATCTGCTTTCACAAGTTAATTGAAGAGATTGCACAGCACAATTTGAAGAAAATCAGAGACATCCTCCAAGTATCCTGACCAATATTTATCCAGAAAACCAGTTTAATTTATTTATCTTCCTGATGTTTAGAGACCAAGCACAAATTAACTGTGGCATTTCTTGTACTTTATGTAAACAAATTACAAAAATAATGAGTTCTGAAGCACTTTAGAATGTCCCAAGATTATAAAGCATGCTAAGTGAACACAAGTTGTTTTCCCTTTGCGCTTTGAGTCTATGCAGGCATGATGCAAAATTACAACAAAGCACTTGAACATGATTTATTCAATTTAAAGGACTCATTGAGACTTTGTTGGCTCCGAAAAGAGCAGTTAACCTCATGTCACACAAAATCTTGGAAATATTTCAGAATGATGGTGACTCAATCTGAATGCATAAATCACGCATTTGTACATAGGATTAAACGCAGTGCTACAAGCCTCTAATTAGCCTTTGGCT